TGGCTTTACAACAATATAAAGAGATATAAAAATTGTGCTTATCGGTACAATTGCTTTAATAATCTCTAAACAAAAGTACTAATAAATACATGTGTTATAATAATCTCTTAACAAGTGTCCTTATAAATACAATTGTATATTGTTTACCCATTCAGTAGCTTTTGTCATTAATGGTTCAAATAGCATGATTTGTTAATAGTATGATAAACAAAAGCCATTAAGCTTTTACTCAATGAAGCAAAGAAGTACAACACTTTTAATCTGCAAACTTCTTTAAAATGATTGAATCACTTTCCCTTTTCAAAAAAGAATCACGTTTTTAAAACTGGATTTTTATTGAAAGTATGAGTAATTCTTAGTAAAATAGTTTCATCGAATCGTTGAAGAATTTTAATCAACACTGGAGTACTTTTGCTCATTCAAGATTTGGTGAAAGAAAGAATTTAACCATTTGCGGGACACCGGTTTTTCAAGGAAACCATTTATTTTTGGAAATGATATAAACAAAGTTTTGTGTATCAGTTTTATTTTTCATCGCCACACTTTTTTATCAACCATTTTAAAGTTTGAAAATATCGTGGCAAAGTAAATGGCCTCAATCTTAAAATGAATGATCCGGCCATAATTCGTACACTAAGAGAAAAAGTATGGTTAAAACTACCAGAATATGGTTATATTTACCATGTTTCTGGATCTATGGGAACACTTAATAACTCGGTAGTTTTTACCAAAGAGCTTTGGTAACGATTTTGGTAAAATTAACAACAAAATATGATCTTATAGTATTTGATAAAATTAAGTGCATTTGGTAATTTTATTATGATATTTTAAAGGATGGCACAAAATCCACTTGCTTGGTTAAATTTACTTTTTAGTTTTGAATTTCTTCTAAATGTGCATTTGTAAGAACTATGATTTTGAAAACCAGAATTATCAACAAACCGTTACCATATAAACGGAAAAATTACCTAATGAATGGTTTAAATACTGTTAATTTTCGTTTTACGCGATAGGATTATGGTTATTTTACCAGACATTTTATTACCATACAGTAAGGTAATTTTACCAGAACATTTATCTCCGTGTATGACTCTTCTTTTCCAACAATTTAGTTCATTCTTTTTCCCTCTCTAAGAGTTAATCCTTTGAAGGTAAACATTTATATGAAATTTCTTAAAATTCAGAGCACTGTTAGATCAATTATTTCGCTTTTAAAATTCCTCTTAAACAAACAAGATATTCATGTCTTAGTTCATAGTTTATATAAATATCTATATATTCTGATCTAAATTTATAAAATTGTGATACTTTAATTCTAAAGTGCTGCCAGGCAGCAAAAATATTAATTAATCTAAGCATTAAGCCTTACCACTACTTTAAAGGTTCTTTTTATATTTTTAAAAGTGTTGCGTTTAAGCAAAATAATAGTAACTTTTGTAGACACGTAAACTGATGTAACTTTGTAGACGCATATTGTTCACAAAAACTAAAGATGCACAATTATAACACTTGCACCTGAGGCTTAAAAATTCTCAACTGGGCTATCCAAGTTAATTTAAATTTTTCAACCAAAGAGTGACTGAATGACTCAAAAATAGCCAAATAAATAAATGAAAGGCACAGACTCTTTTTTTTTAATGCTTAGCGTAAAACAACATTCATTTTGGCATTTGTTGTTGTTGTTACAATAGGATTATATCTGATAATCTATTGTAACCATGTTCGCTAAATTGAGATAAAATAATTTGCACTCATACGGTAAAAGATTTATTTTATATGATGAATTACTGCCTGATAACAAAATAATGTATTGTTATGTCACAAAATGTAGTAATTAAGTGAATAATTAAACCACTCGTTTTAAATATTTTGAAAAACAAATATGTAATATTCATTAATAATAACTTTGTCGGTATGCACTTTTAGAACAATGAAATAGGTAACAAAATAAACTTCCGCAAAATTTCGCCGATGTTTGTTTCTAAGAAAATAACAAAATCTGCACTTTTGCTTACTCAAAACCATTGTTGAGATGAAAGATGATTAAAATAAATGACTTAAATAAATTTCTTTTACCATTTATTTAATTTTTTTACCATGAAAAGAAAACTATATCAAGGTAAGCAAAGAAGAAAATTATCCTGAATTCTCTTTCAAAAGCGAGTATAGCGCGGGAAGTTTAATAAACGGAAATATCTGAGGTAAAACAGAGAAAATAAAAATCAGAAAATGAACTTCCGAGAAAAAATTCATAATAAAAAAAGAATGTCCCGTTATTAAACGGCTCAACCTGCCATACCAAAGGGGGAAGAAGCGTCTCACCTAAAGAAAAAAAATCGAAAAAAGAAAAACGCAAAATAAACCGAGTGAAAAAAAATCGACTTCGCAAAAGTCATCATCCTTATGCGTGGTTGAACCGTTTCACATCGCTGGTCAGTCCAGAAAACGTCCACAACTGGACCTTGAAAGGCGTTTCCCCGGGGGTTACCACACCACGCCACAATTTGTTTATCATAACAGGTGACTTATTTGAATTATTGCGTTTATTTTATAATTAGAATACAAGACAGACTAAAATAGTTTTCCATTGCCGCCAGCAGAAGTCATTATTTTCTTGTCATAAATGGTTCACACGACGATGATAAATAAGATGGTGGCTTCTGCTTACCCAAAGGCTATTGTAGAACTTATTAGAAACGAATAGAGATGTATTTATTAATCGTTTAATTCACAAGATTGCTGCATAGATAAGATCAAGGCACGCTATGTCGCATACATAGATAAAGCATGAAAACAAATATAGATAGGATTCCAACACTTTCTCAACACGGCAAAGATTATAATTATTCTAGCCTGAAACAATTTAACACGCATACTTCCGATTAAGCATTAAGTTCGTAATATATCATTAAAAGAACTTAGAATTCAGATTATACTGCCTTAAGGTTCTATTTTGTCACATGCCACATTTTTTTATCGATGACCATTAGACAGTTTTATCATCTATATCCCACTACCTAATAATTTTTTTAAAAGAATGTATTACTTAAACCATATAAGAGATATTAAATTTTTGCGATTGGATCAAATAATAGAAAGAAATTTCACCCTTAAATGTTATAATTTTTTTTAAATAATTCAAGGAACTTTATTACCAGAATATGCAAAACCTTACACTGAAAGCTTACATTAGCTGAAAGGGCTAATCGATCATCTCATGACTGGCTAAACAGGGGTTCAAATCCCAGCGTTGACACCACAATATTTCTTCCATTCTTTCAATACATGAAGAGTTTCTAGCATCCTTTACTCTTCAATAGGTGACTCTAGACTATTAGAAAGAACCTTTTAACTATTAGAAAGAACTATTAGAAAGAAACTTTCATTCCCGCACAGACCTCCAATGTACGATTTCATCATTTAGAAACGTATAGTTTTGTACTCGCGGTTTTTTAATTGTACCAGTTGTAAACGGTTTCAGGTAAAGGAATAAGGTAAAGAAATATTCTTAAAACCATAAACTTCATTGCTAATCAAATGGACAGACTGATGTTGGTTATTTACTGTAATTTCATAATGAAAATTCGAACAGTGTAGAATATTAAATTAATGATATATTTCGTCGGTATGCTTTGTAATATCGCTAAACTGCCAAATATTCCGGATTAAATTATGGCAAAAGGTACTGGCACCCTGAAAACAGAATCCGTTTTATCGTAAAATTCTTCATTATGGTAAAAGTTTATACCGAGATTTTTGCAATCATATTAATTTAATTACAGTGATTTTACAGCACTTGTTACTGTTTAAAAATTGCGGTTTATCAGATTTTTTGTCCCATAAAATTTCATGTTAAAAATTATATTTTACGGTGAAAAAACTAGCACCCCGAGTCCCGGTACTTTTTACCGTAATTTGATCCAGAATTTTTTACAGTGTACTAGCGGAACTATTTTTAGAATGCAAATTTTAATTAATTAATAGAAAAGGCTTGGTTCACATGAAAATGATAAATTAGATAGCGGTTTTGGTTTACCCAAAGTCATCTTTAGCTCTATTTAAAAAGGAGAACATTTGGAATTTTTAAGCGTTCATATTGTGGAATTGCTTACATTGATGCACACATACGTACGTTACAACGGCACGTTAGCTGCGCGTTAGATGTTCAGGAGATGCTTAGATTATGCAAAGCACGTTAAGTTGCGCGCAAGCAAATAGAGATAGCTTTTTAATATTGTAGACAAATATAGACAACCAAAATATAAACCGAAATATTTGGAATTTTTTAAGTGATTCTAATTTGATTAAATTTGAATTATAAAATTTTGTATTCACGAAAAATTATCTTCTACTATCTAACGTTATAATAAATATGATGTAAAATTGATAAATCTGATATTAAGACGTCTACTTAATATTTAATGGAAATTAAAATTTTAATTCAACGTATTTTAAGTAAGTTGCCGCGCATAATTAGCCCGTTTTCCACTAAAAAATTAGTTTTTATCATTGGCATGTTGTAATTAAGATAAAATAGTTGAAGTAATTATAAGATTAAATTTTTTGTGCTCGCATTCCCTTTCTATTTTCTTAGACAAATATGTTGCGTTCACAGATATTAAGATGGAAAATAGAATTATTCTTTATACTTCAAAATTTGCTATTATACTGGAAATTTCAATGTTAATCAGAAATAAATGCAGATAAAATTAAGATGTCTTAAGCAGCCCCCAGTACTACTGTAAATTATCATCTGTACAGTTTATGGCTTTAGCACGTGAATATTTTCTTCAATATAGCATTTATTGGACATGAAAAGGGAAACATATTGAGAATATAATATATTAGAAATTCCTACTCTGTATCTTGAAGATTTGGAACATTTAAGTTTTCAGTTATATACTTGAATTAATTTTAAAAAGTTCAAATACGTCTTTTATCATTACTGTGTCTTAATTACTTTTTTAAAGTGTTATATTCTAAAATACAAGCCAATTTCAATATTTAAATTAAAAGAGTGATTAAATCAAACTGTTATTGGCTTAAGACAATAGAATTATGCATCCTTGATACTTAATAAATATTAAAATATCGGGAAACAAAACAACATGACAAAGAAACCAAATTCTTTATTGTTTCATACAAAACAGAACAAAAAAATTCTTCTTGCTAAAAAAAAAATTCTTAACTGACATTCCCGAATTTGCCTTAGTGATCTTCTTTAAATGCCCTGTTATTAAGGAACGGTTTGAACCATTTAAAGTTTGTTAAATATAATTTTAAAAAAACATGTTTAAGGAAACCAACTTTTTGATTGTTTAATACCTGACAAAATAAAATATTTTTTCCTAATAAGACAAAAAATCTTAAGTGATGTTGCCAAATTTGCTCTACTGAACTTTTTCAAAAACCCTATCATTAAGGAGTGTTCTAAATAGAGGAAAAAAATGTTCTTGATCATTTAATTCCAACACCCTCCCCCCTTCCGCAAAGTTCCGTTAGAGATGAAAGTCCGCAGTAAAAACATCCCTCACAAAACATCGTTTTCTCCCACTAAAAGATCGTCTGCCTGCCGTATCCTCACTGGTAGACTAGCCGATGCACGCTACAGAGGAAAAATCACCTGCGGAAAAAAAATCAAAACAAAAGCAAAAAAAAGACCCGCTCGCGAGCGATCCGTCCGATCTTACCGAGAAGCAACAGGTGAAAGTGAAGAGAGCGCACCACCACAATACTCAGATGATAATAAAATGAATAAAAAAAGGACACAACAATATAATCAACAAAATAGAATTTAGTTCCGTTGAGCGCGTTGTGTGACGTCACGGAAACCTTGAAGACTACTTTTTAGTGTCAGGTAAATCTCTTAAGAGCGGCAAACGTGATTCTGGTTTTGATTCGAACAGTTCTTGAATCCTCCATCCCTTTAACTTATCCTTTCTTCATCTTTATCCCCATTCCCCGAATGATCTTAGGATAGAGGGACTTTTGTGTTCGAAGAAAATGGATTATAGGGGGATTCGACTAGTGATTGAATGATTAAGATCGATAATTTTTTAAATTGTTTTTATTGATTGGTTGTGGAGGGACTTGGAAAAAATTTTAAGGAGAGTGAAACTTATTGTTTGGAGTGAAACATTTCATCCTTGGATTAATTTACTTGTGATTTGTATGGCTCCTTTAGATATGGTGAGAAATTTATATTTATTTAATTAAATTATAATTTAAATTAATTTAAAATTATAATTTTGCATTTAACGGGATAATAAAAAATAAACTTAAAAAAGAATAATAATTTATTTCTTGCAATTAATTGAGATTTTTAAGCTATAAATTAGAAATAATTATTTTTCTCTAAACTAAACTACAAAATTTTGTTATCAGAGTGTAATTTAATTATTTATATCTCTTAATAAAATACAAATTCAAATGAAATTCTTAATGCAATATAAAAATTTTTTTTAATAAATCTTTAATTATTTTTTAAACAAACAATATTTTAAAACAAACTTTTTAACCATCTATTAAAACAAAGTGTTTTTTTAAATGATTTGTAAATACATCAAATGGAGGGAAAGGCATATTTTTAATACTTTTGAAGCAAAATATTAAGAAATTTTCCATTTTTTCTTCATATTATTTATGTCTTTAAGATTAATATCAGTTTATTTTACTTATTTCAATGCCTAAAGAAAAGAAATTAATTAACTTAATGTGAGTTTATTAATTTCAGTAAATATTTTTCAAACAATCACAGCAAATCATTCAAGTAATAAATAGTAAAAGAAACAGTATCACTGGTTTTACATCATGTTAAATATTATATAAATAGTTATAATTCAGTATTAATGTGTATACATATCGTGAATTTCTCACATTGAATATTGCATAGCTTTTTTTCGACCAAAAAAAAAAGGAATTAATATACTTTTCAGGCAATTCTAGCTTTTCACTTTAGGAAAATTAACTAATCATTTTCTGATATTAATTACATTCATTTTGAAACTTTGTCTGTATACATTTTAGTGTATAGGATTTTTAAAAATCTTACTTCAGTCTATTTCGTGAAATTCCATTTTTTTATATACATATAAAACTGCTTTATATCTTATCATAGTATAAAAGATTGGAATTGGTTGTAAGAGTTAGTTCTAATAATGCGACTTTAAAAATATATTTTACTTATTAGTTAGTTACTTGTCTGTAATTGTGAGCTACCTCAAAAACTGTTAGTTGCCGTATTCTGAGACAGTAAAAATTGCTTCATAGAATATATTGCTTTCCAAATTATATATTCTGCTTTTTTAAATGTCCACAAAAATTTACAAAAATTATAATTCGAAACTTGAAACTAAATTATCTTTTTTTTTGCAAGTTTTCGATATTTTAATGTAACATCGAGGAAAAAAAGTATAGTCAGAACTACAAGAATATGGTAAATTTACCCTGTCTCTGTCTCTAAGGGAACACTATAACCATAGTAATTTTTACTGAAGTTCTTTGGTAAAGAATTTGGTAAAATTAATAATGAAATATGGTTTTAAAATATGTGTTAAAGTTTGATAAATGTGATAAAATTCAGTTCCTTGGAATAAAAGCATAAAAATCATTTATTCGGTTAAACGTACTTTTCAAAATTGTATTTTTACTAAATATTTGGTAATAAGAGCTGTAATTTTGAAAACCATAATTTCCTGCAAACCGTTACCATAAAAACGGGAAGAGTACAAAACGAATGGTTTACATACAGTATAATTTGGTTTTATTACCAGAACTATGTTTTTTTTTTACCCTAAGACCGTTACCATAAAAACGGGAAGAGTACAAAATGAATGGTTTACATACCGTATAATTTGGTTTTATTACCAGAACTAAGTTTTTTTTCACCAGAAAATTTTTCTCCATGAAGTTTCGACTTTGTTACAATACAACGGAGAATATTCAAAAAAGTCGCAACATAAATCAATAAAATTATGTTTTATGAATTTAATATAATAAATAAAAAAAATTTTTATGATAATGAAAAAAAATTCATAATTTAATTTTTTTAAAAATATAATTTTTTAAACGTAGAATATCTGCTTTTCTTTATTTCAAAAAGATTATAGACATTGCTTTGCTAATAAATTGATCGAATTTATTATATTGATGTAAATTTTCCTCTAATATTTTCATTACTTAAAAATGTCTTACACAGTAATGAAAAAGATTAAATTGTTTTCGAAAAAGTATATATTTTTTAATAAGTATATTTTGAGAATAATAATAGAAGAGAGATTATAAAAAGAAATGTAACAAGAGAATATAATGAGAGAATATAAGACGAAATATATTTGTGAAATTGATTTTAATGTCTATTAACATCGATTATAATTTCAAAAACTTTTAAACGTAGGGTGTAGACTATTAGAAGCATCTTCATTTTTCCCAATTCATTAAATTAGCTCAAACAATTTGAGAAAAATAATGCGAAATTTCACCTTTATTAGAACACTCGTTTTGTTGAAAATAATTGTCTCTGTTGAAAATAATTGTCTCTTTTGTTGAAAATAATTGTATTTGAAATTTAAAGGTCTTAAAAAGCGTAAAGAAAATACATTTCTCAAATTGCTAAACAAAATTGTAAAATACATTGAAATAGTTGAAGAAATTAAATTGGCAACTGTGTTTTGAATTTTAAAAATTAATAAATACATTTTAATACTCTGAAATGTGCTTTCATTTCTAACTAACAAAATGTAAAAGCTTAATAGGAGAGATATAATGTAGAATATATTTGGTAAAAAATGCTAAATTTTTGAATTTTATAAGTTAGATACAAGATATTTTCCTTGTAATTGGTTATCTACAGCATAAATAAAAAAGCTTTTGCTTAAATTAAAATATTAAAATATTTTGATAAATAGAAAATCTAAAATTATAACAAAAATAATAAAATAATTCATGTAAAATATGATAATTTTTTTATTTATCAAAAACACGTATATTTTAGTACGAAATTTAGAGTCAAATCATTTACGAACTAAAAAATATCATTTACAATCAAAGAAAAAAACCATTTACAAAGCGTATACTTTAGAAAACAGTCAAAAATACGGGATCGCTAACTAACTTTTACAAATTGTTTCATACAAAGCATTATATGACTCCTTTCTTTTGAGTTCCGTATTTACCCTCTAATTAGAATTCCACTAATTACTTGTACAATTAGAATTTGTCATCTAATTGAGTTTTAAGAAAATTTCCTGTACTTTAAATGTTATTCCATATTTGCCACTCTAATGGATTTCGAAATCAATTCCTCTAGTTGAAATCCATACTAGTCCTTATATTAGAATTCCATATTTGCCACCCTAATGGATTTCAAAATCTATTCCTCTAGTTGAAATCCCTACTTGTCCTTATATTAGAATTCCATATTTGCCACCCTAATGGATTTCAAAATTTTTTCCTCTAGTTGAAATCCATACTTGCCCTTATATCAGAATTCAATATTTGTTATTGAATTAGAGTTTCATACTTGTCCTCAACTAGGAATTCCATATTTGCCATTTAAATTAAATTTTACATTAACTAATCTTATATTAAGCTATATCAGAGTTATTGCCATATTGGTTATTTTATAAGAGTTAATATTAAGTGGTTCATTTCAAAACTTTATTAGATTTCATATTTTTGATCGTATCGAAGCTTCATACTAAGAACAAGATTTATAATAAAGAAGTAGATCCGTTTAGTTTAATACATTGATTGCTTACTTTAAAATGTTACTTCTAAGGATAAATGATTTGTCTGTGAAAAAAAAGGAATATTTTATTTTTTAAATTTTTTATTTAAAAAAATCACTAAATATATTAAAATACGTTCGATAATTCTCCATATTGTATACATTATTATGTAGACCAAAAATTGAAATATATATCGAATATGTAATTTAAAACTTATTTTATATATTTTAATAAGTAAAACTTATTAAAGTACATATTTACTAACTTTTCTCTCGTCAATAATTGCTTTATTGAATTAAAAAAAATTTTAAATATGCCTAAAAGTTTACGGATTTTTCTTTTCATACTTTTTTTATAAATTAGTTGCTAAACTGATGAAAAGAAAATTTCTGTGGTCCAAAAATAGTTTAAGAAAAGATGTTTAAGACAACATCTATTTAAAGCTAGCCAAGATCGATTTCTTACATCCAATATATTTTCACGCAATGGAAATATGGTTAAATATTTAAATTTAAAAATTTCGAAGTAATTTCGACTGATAAAGTAATTGAAAATCTAACTGGGAGGCTATATATTTACATTATATCATTAAAACCCAAAATAATGGTTTTTATCATTCAATCGTTATATATTATATTGTTATACGATGACTTATAGGTTTCTCAAGTATAGGCTTAAAAAACTCCCATTTTTACGAGTTATTGACAAGCGCGTGCTCTTATTTCAATTATTGTTAGACGGAAGAAGAAAACATGATGACATAACAAAAATAAAATTTAGCTAAAGAATTGTGACCTAAAAATCAAAACAAGGTGCAGAGTCAGTCGCTGTTTTCTCAAAATTTTCGTTAAGTCATCCAGTTCAATAATATAGATAAACAAGATGCTCTGAATAATAAACAATAAATATAAATGATTTGACCCAAATTAAATGAACCATTTATTTTACTTCCTAGAAAAATATGTAATCACAAATTTTCGAATTTAAATATTTAAAGTAAACGCAATTAAATTTTCTTCAAAATGTCGAAATTTGCAACCAAAACGTAATAAATCTATGATTGTATAGTTTTTAATCATAGAATCAGACCCGTATACGAATAGATCAATGAATCACCAATTCCTCTAATATTCCTAAATTTGCGAAATTTATCAAAAATTTTAACAAACTTTCCGTTTATTCGTATTTCGTAACTACACTGAACAAAATTCCGGATAAATTTTTTCCTGATCAAATCAAATCCGGAACCAGCACTCAGGCTGCAAGTACTTTTTACAGGGAAATTTCTTTTTACCATTAAATTTACTACGGCAAAAAATTTTATGTACCGTAATTTTTACAGTAAAAGAACTGAATCACTGTAATTCAATAAATATTAGGATATAAAATTTTGCGACAAATAAAATTATAAAGTAAAATTATTTAATTTACGGTAATATGTATTTTGCTGATGCTGCACTC